TGTTCTGCAGTGAGGACAATCTCCCATTTTGACTAAGAAGCACATTTGATCACTTTCTTGTGCAGCCACATTGCTGCTAGCTTTCTGCTGTGCATGCATGTAAATATTTGAAAACAGCCTTGGTCTGGACTGTTGTTTTTACCCTCTCATTTTAACCTTTAATTATTTTATCTCCTCAGTTCCCCGATTGCAGTTTGCCAATGACGATAAACACCTCCTCGCCTGCTGCTCATTGGATGGGACATTGTCAATCATGACACTATCCCCACCTCCACCAACTGTAAAGGTGACACTGAAAGGCCATGCTGGGCCCGTCACTGACTTTGCCTGGTCGCTTAGCAATGACATCATTGTGTCCACGTCCAAAGATGGCACTCTGCGTATCTGGAACACAGAGGATGGCCGCTGCATCCGGGAGGTGGTCGACCCAGAGGGCAGTGAGCTGCTGTGCTGCACTTTTCAGCCCATGAACAACAACCTGACTGTGGTGAGCCCAAATGACAACCATTATTGTTTCTGGTATTCACTACTGTTCAAAAGTTTTGAGTCTTTTTTTTTTTTTTTGTTAAACGTTAAAAAAATTAAGGTTGCACTTATTTGATCGAAAAGTACACGTAAGCTGCAATATTGAATGACTTCTTTCTGTTCTAATATATTTTAAAGTGTAATTTATTCCTGTGATCAAAGCTAATTGAACAGTAGTTTAATTATAGATGTTTTTCTCTAGTGACCATACATTTTGAAATACTGCAGAACTGCAATATTATGTTTATCAAATAGACTATAGAGGAAAGGCATTTCACATTTATTCTTTTTATTTTATTTATTTATTTATTTATTTGACAGGGACAATGCAAACAAACATAGTGTCAAGACCAAGCATGTTACTGAAGTGTTGCATATAAAGTTTACTGCTATTGCTAATTTTCAACTCCTGTCCCTGGAATAAAATTTACATGATTAACTACTTCAATAAAAAAAAAAATTATAATAAAAATAATAAAAATACTAATATAAACATACATAGGCCTATATATGTATATCATATAAAACTCTAATAATTAAATATAATTAAAAATTAGTACACTTTTGGTTTATTTTTAACCAATTTTTAAGCCTGGAAATGAACATCTTAAAGTCAGACACAGTCTTGATTTCAAAAGGTAAAGAGTTTCAAAAGGTAAGAGAACTTTTTTTTTTCATTACCTGTTCCCAAGAAACTATTAGGAATTTCGCCCCCTAGAAGGGGATAATTCTGGTGACAGACTTTCTTTTCCAATTTTTTGGGAAATGGAATTGTTTACTGTGGTAAAAAATACCATCAGCCCTTTCAGTAATCCTATTAGTGTGTGATATGCACCACCACCCAAAAAGGGTACCTTGTGTGCAATAGTGGGTAATTGTACTAAATGTTAAGAGACCAAATGTAGTTTAATTCGGATATGAATCATGCATAAAGAAACTTGATTATATCTTTCATGCAACTCAGACTCACGTGTTACATTGATAACACAAAGCTTTCCGGATTCACTTCATTTTTCAACATTATGTAATTTCATTGTAATTTTTTTTATATTTTTAACACCTTTTATTTGTGTCTACATATGAAGAGTTCAGATGCAAAAGCCTCTAAATGCCATTTGAAATTTTCTTCTTTAATGATGATTTTTATCAAACTTGTATATTTAAGTTCAGTAATTTCACTTAAATAACAAGTGAAATTACTGAACTTAAATATACAAGTTTGATAAAAATCATCATTAAAGAAGAAAATTTCAAATGGCATTTAGAGGCTTTTGCATCTGAACTCTTCATATGTTACTATACAAAGCTAATGTAACACAACGACATTTTAGTAAATTGTAAAAAATATGAAAATGTCTGGTAAAGTATTTTCTGAAGTCGTTATGATATGTCACATGTGTCTTTTGTTATTTGTGCCCAGGTTGGCAACAGCAAACATCACCTGCAGGTGGTGAACATCTCCACTGGGAAGAAAGCGAAAGGAGGCTCCAGCAAACTGACCGGTCGAGTGCTTTCTCTCTCGTTTGATGCACCAGGGAGAATCCTGTGGGCTGGCGATGACAGGGGAAGCATTTTCTCCTTCCTCTTTGACATGGCCACAGGTACAAAGATGTTTCATGCCAAGCCCAGATTGTGATTTTGGGGGAACCATAGTAATATAGATGAGAGTTTAAGTAAAACCAAGGTTCTTCCTCCACAGGAAAACTGACCAAAGCTAAGAGACTGGTGGTGAACGAGGGCAGCTCTATTTCCAGTATCTCAGCCCGCTCATGGATCAGCCGTGAGGCTCGGGATCCGTCGCTGCTCGTCAACGCCTGTGTAAACAAACTACTGCTCTACAGGTTAGAATACACTTAACTTAACGGAAAACCAGATTGTCACGTTCCTTTGGCTAAGATGATGATTGATCAGTGTGGAACCGGTGTTGACAGGGTCGTGGATAATGAGGGGACACTACAGCTGAAGAGGAGTTTCCCCATCCAACAAGCATCCCAACCTCTGCACAGCATCTTCTGTCCTCTCATGTCCTTCAGACAGGGAGCCTGTGTTGGTAAGCCCCGAATCATCATCTCATCTGTGATCATTTACATTCAGAAACTGAAAATAGGGCCATTGTAATTTCTGTTTTTTAAATCCTTTTCTTTGAATACGCAAAGCTCGAATTATGTGTGCTTAAACATTACTCATCATAGGCAAGAAATGACTTTAAAAAGAGTTTAATATATTTAAAAACTGACAATTTAAACCAATATTTGTGTGCTATATACCATTCAAAATTTGGGGTTGTTAAGATTTTTAAAAAAATCTCTCTTATTCTCTCCAAGGCTGTATTTATTTGATAAAAATACTGTAAAAACAGTTATGTTATTAAATATTATTTAAATTTAAATGAGCTGTTTTTTTATGTTAATATATTTTTAAATTAATACATTTTCTGCATCATTTCTTCAGTGTCATGTGATCCTTCAGAAATCGTTCTAATATTATGATTTGCTGCTCGGGAAACATTTCTGATTATTATCAATGTTGAAAACAGTTGTGCTGCTTAATATTCTAGTGAAACCGGCATATATTTTCAGCATTCTTTGATTAATAGAATAGAAAGTACAGAAAAACAACATCATAAATGTCACTTTTGATCAATTTAATGCATCCTTCTTGAAATTTCTTTCAGAAAAAAGTTCTTTTGAATGGTTTTTGACTTATTCTTACATAATAAGTTTGCCAACACACTATTGAAATCGATCCATCATATATCACTCACTGATGTGCACTTACAAGGTTCCTTTTCAGTTAGGATGCTGCCTATGTAGGCGGCTCACTCTGTTTTGGAACAAAGCCAGTGTAAGTGAATCCCTGCTCTTTCTCTCATGTAGTAACTGGCAGTGAGGATGCATGCGTCTACTTTTTCGACGTCGAGCGCAACACTAAGGCCATTGTTAACAAGCTGCAGGGTCACAGCGTGCCCGTCCTGGACGTGAGCTTCAACTGCGACGAAAGCCTGCTAGCCTCCTCTGACGCCACCGGAATGGTGATCATCTGGAGACGGGAGCAGAAGTAATCACAGCGACTCCTACCTTGGCTACAGCATCTTCCAACGCAGGCTGGCTTGAATCACGTGCAATGAAACTCCTACTGTAAACGTGTGATGACTGTGATGTGTTGAATGAGTCTGAACTAACTCATGTGGACCATGAACGAAACTTGGTTTCTCTTATCTTTGTTTTAGGGCTGATATTTCTATTGTTGTTGTTTTGGGATGTGATGCTTGATTGTGCGCTTCATCAGTGCTTTGCAGTCTTAAATGTGTAATTTAAGAGAGGAGACGTTAATATAATAATTTGTTCACCTTTGTGCATTGTGTCTTTGTGAGTGAGTGTGTGAGAATGAGAACGCTTGAGACAATGTTTCTCTGAAGTTGTGTTCGCTTGCACAATAACACTACTATATTTATGCCTTGAACTCAATAAACTTACTCACACTAAGTTACATTTGGTCTCTTCATACTTTTCTTGAATTTATTTACATTTTGTTGGCATGTTTTTTTTTTATGGCAACTTCAAATCAAAGGAGCTTTTGAAGATGGCAAAGTTGTTGGCACACATGAAATTTAGCTCAAGGAGTGCTATAATGCCCCTTTGTTCAAGATGTAAGATAAGCCTCTGATGTCCCCAGAGTGTGTAAGGGAGGTTTTAGGTCAAAATACCACACAGCATTTATATACCTTTTTGAGGGTGAGCAAAAACGTGGTGTTTTCTGTGTGTCCCTTTAAATGAGCTGCTGCTCCCAGAATACCTCTTCTTAACATGGACTCACCCCGTTTGTTGTGTTCCCAGGCCAGGGGTGGTTTATGTAACTTTTGCGGTTAGTGATGTCATGTAGTTGTTGTCGTCCTGAAAAAAAAAAAGGAAATATATATATATATATATATATATATATATATATATATATATATATATATATATATATATATATATATCCGTTTGCTTTCCGTTGAACTTTGAGTGCTGCAACTTTGCAAATGTTGTTTATGCCCAAACAGGAACATTACACACCAACTAAAGTTAAAAAGTGAAATCATAATCAACCACTCCTTTCAAATCCTTTTTTTTAACTTCAGCCTATATTTTAAAATTTGAAATATGAATAGGTCTCAAGTTAATTATTTCACATGTATTTCTTTATTATTGATATTTACTCTGCGCTAATACTGGTGATAATATTTCTTGAATATATTTAAAATATTTTCCAGTATCATGAATAAATTGTTGCTTATAAATTGTATTTTTTCTAAAAAAAAATGTGTTGTTGTTGTCGGATACTTGGTGACTTCAGACTCACACTTGTGTCTTGGATGAAAAGACTTTTAAACCTCATTGCCGTTTTTTAAACGTTAAGGCTTTTATTTTGAAATGAACATGAGTGAGCGCACTTTTTTTCCACCTGCTTTTATTTTGAAAGGAAGCAATTCTCACGTCACAGCAGCTACACTGTAACATGTGGGAGGAACTACTTCCGGTTCTACAGTGGGTAAGCTAAAAGAGAAAAACAAACAAATATATAAATGAAACGCAATTTGAATAAATATATATTGTTAAAAAATGTATTTTAGAAGCCTTGAACATTTATTACCCTGTGTATATTAGGGGGTAGACAGCTAGCAGGCTGCATATAACCCACTAAGTTACATAAAACAGCTAACAAAATGAATAAATCTGTTTTAGTTTTTATTGTAATTAATTCAGACGCTGTAATTCTAAAGACATCTCATAAAGAGTTAAACTAGTTTATATTTTCATGCATGTGGCCGTTTTTTTTTTTATAGGTGTGGTCCATCTGATAAAACGAGTCCCTTCTCTTTCATGAATATGCATTATTTAAAAAAATTTAATGGTTTAATGGTTGTTTCTAACGTAATCATAGTCTTTTATATTTATTATATATACTACAATTGCTGCATAGCTATTTTATAAAAACAATGTTTATTTGTCACAAACAAATACTGAAATGTGACTCCGTTTCCAAGAAAGATCTCCAGTGCATTATATAATATTGTGTTTATAATGTTTTACTGACTTGATTTATATATTTTTTAGACTCTTGCATGAGTTTGTACTGTTTTAAAGCGTGAAGAGACCGTGGGACAGAGGGAACAGAATATGCCTTTCCTCCACGGGTTCAGGAGGATCGTGTACGAGTACCAGCCACTGGTGGATGCTGTGATGAGTGTCCTGGGAACAGAAGGAGGAGAAAACCAGCACAGGTCAGCATTTCAGCTGCATTTCAAAGACAGCCTTTCACAGACGATGACAGAATTGTATGCACTGCATTTCACAGACAAGAGGATGAAGAAAGCATCTCAAGGGCCCTTGTGGAGCTTCTGGATAGAGAGTCTCAGTCTCCCGTCTTCATGCAGGGAATCAGCTACTCCCTGTTTCGAGTGGCTGAACTGGGGTTGGTCGGCGCAGCAAAGGTGCTCTTGCGTTACGGAGCTGATCTCAACTTTGAAGGTGCGGAGATGCTAAAGACTTTGACGATTTTGTGATGAACATCATCTTGAAACTTTTTGTTATTGTTCCAGACCCTGTATCGTACTACAACCCCTTACACATTGCAGTGTTGAGGAACAAGCCAGACATGGTGCAGATGTTGATATCTCACGGAGCTGAAATCAACAAGAGGGACAGGGTGAGAACACGTGTCTTTATAAAAGTAGCATTTATGCGACGATGCTTTTTGTGGCACTTTTTCGTCTCTGCAATAGATTCATGAAAGCAGCCCTCTTGACCTGGCCAGCGAGGAGGCGGATAAGCTGCCGTGTTTGCGTGTGCTCCTGGACTTGGGTGCTGATGTGAATGCGAAAGACAAGAATGGTATTTTAGTGAACTCGTCTAACAATTTTAGAATGATTGTGGTTTCTTGATGTATTTCATTTGATTCTGACTCTGTTTATTGTGTTGCACATGCTTGCACGTTTGCAGGAAAAACTGCACTGCTTCATGCTCTGGCCAGCAGTGATGGACTCACAGTCAATAATGTGGACAATATAGAGCTGCTTCTACAAAGAGGTGCTTCACTCAACATCATAAAACGACATTAGGCAACAGATTTATTCAGATATTTCGTTTTAAAATCTCAGATCTTGACTTAAACTGAAAGATTTTATATGGTTGTTATTGTAATGTTGAAAGTGTAATATTGTGAAATATTATTACAATTTTAAATTACTGTTTATTTTTTGAATATATTTTTAAATGTAATTTATTCCTGTGATGTAAATCTGAATTTTCAGCATCATTACTCCAGTCTTCAGTGGATGATCCTTCAGAAATCATTCTAATATGATGATTTGATGCACAAGAAACATTTATTATTATTAATGTTAAAAACAATTGTTCTGCTATATAATGGATATATATATCCATTATAATTAACAGGCTAATTTTATTAATATTTATATTTTTGTGTGTGTGTGTATATATATATATATATATAAGTGCTTTGCAAAGATTAATTACAATTAATCACATCCAAAATAAAAGTTTGTGTACATACATAATATATACAATTCATGTATATATTTAAGAAAATGTGTTATTCATATATAAAATATTTATATATCATATAGATTATGTGTATATATGTGTATATATATATATATATACACAGTATTTATGTGCAAATAATTCTTAAATATATACATGCATGCATAGGTATTTATATAAATAAAATAATTATACAGAGCACACACATGTTACGTAAAGACAAACTTTTATTTTGGATGTGATCAATCGCAATTAATCTTTGCACAGCCCTATATATATATATATATATATATATGTATACAATTTTTAGGTGTAATTTGACCTATAATATACATATTATATTATTATAATAATATTATTTTAAATTTATATTATATTAATATCATATAATATTAAATTTGCCTTTATGTATAAATGGAATTTTATTTTTTGCTTAAAATATTTTTTTTTATATCTTTTTTTTTTTTTACTGCCATCTAAAATTAAAAGAATGAAACCTCTTATGTGTCCTGTGCAGGTGCAGATGTGAACGCCACCACACATGACGGCGAGACCCCCATGTCCTCTCTGATCTTCCTGGTGAAGGAGGCTCTGGACAGCAGCGTTGAGGATGCGAAGGAGATCGGGCGTTTCTGTACCCGCGTGGCACGTGTTCTGATCAGCCACGGTGCCGATCCCAGCTGCTGCTTGAACGCTGCTGACGGGGAAGAGTGGGAACATTCACTAACATACACCATTCTGGAGAACTTCGACTTGCTATTTCCCCTGACCGCCCTTCTACTCCAGCACGGCGCTTCCTTCGTCTGCTCTCACCACAGCGCCTCCTTCTGGACGGGTCAACAACTGATATTCACGCGTCTCGCTGAAGCTCTCCGTGAGCCTTTAGATGCCGCCGAGCTGGCTGATGTTTTAGCCAAAGCTGAAGTGCTGTTGGATCTGGCCAGGATCTGCTCTCCTGTCATTCCTCCTCTCTTCCCGCGCTCACAACTGCCCGTTCTGGACCAGGTTTCTACCCATAAGCCCCTGCTGGAGCTCTACAGCAAACTAGAGGACCAAGAGAGCCGGCCGCTGCCATTGAGATGCCTTTGCCGGAGACTGATCCGCCGCTGTCTGCAGCCGTGGCCCTTTGAGGAGAAGGTGAAAGCCTTGCCACTGCCGGACAGACTGAAGGACCTGCTGCTCCCAGAGAACTACTGGACCAACAGACCCGGCTGGGACAGATTCAAACCTCGACGTTCTCCGCGCTGATCCACACGGACTGTGTGTGTGGTTGTATATATCGAGCCCTTAATGACCTCTGCATTCAGTCAAATCCAGATAAAAGTGATGCGGTGCTTGTTTCTTTTGAATCAGCATGCAGAAAGATCATTTGTCTGTTCATCTGAGAGTGGGAAACTAGCAAAAATATGTATATGTCTTGTAGTTGTCAGTGTTCTCAGTGCCAAAATGCCAGTAACCACACTGTATTACATATCACCAGGTAATTTTCTGTTGGTTTTGTAGTTTCTTTTAGTATGAAAAGGAATAATTGTTTACAGTTACTGATGAATCTTTAATATTGTGCACTCATGTGTGTATATTTTTAAGCTGATTTGCTGATTGGATATCATTTATATGATATACTTAAAATGCCTTAACAAGATCAACTTTGTTGCTGGAACATTGGAAAAAAATGCTCTCTCGTGTGTGTGTGTGTGTGTGTGTGTGTGTGTAGTTTTTCACCTGTTGTACGTCTTTAAAATATGAGGCTGTAAGTTGTCATAATGCTTCTGGAGAATCAAAGCTCACTTTAAAGGAATTAAATGCCTTTGTTAAAAATCAATTGTTTAGTGAATAATTCAAGAAAATTGTGCTTGGCCTAAAAAGTAACATAGTTGCTATTTACTGGTAAGATTATTGTTAGCTACTCTTCCACATCTAAACTGCTTTTGCACCTGGTTTAAACCGGTTTAACCCTGTAAGAGTTAGAGTATATTGAAGTATAAAAATAATTTAAACGTAAATCAGTCCTATATATGTGATTAAAGTCCACTGAAGTCACACAATTCTAAAAGGAATATACAAAGGAAAATACAAACCCCCAGACCTCTTACATCCCCATTAACACCCTCAACAATGGACCATGCAACCCTATAGACCATTTCACAAGATGTAAACAACACTGGTCCAGGAGCACTTCCTGTTTCAGTTAGTAACTGTTTCCTTTATTTCACATGTAAAGAAAACATATTAAAGATGTTTGTTTAACTTTTGATTCAGTTTTAAATGTTCTGTTGGTTGTATTTTATCCCAGCTTTTATGTATTGTTAAAAAACTGAAACAGGAAGTGCTTCTGGACCAGTGTTGTTTACATCTTGTGAAATGGTCTATATGTCTGAACATCCACACACCTGTCCTTGAATAACCATCCTCCCAAGCATTCCACAATCAGTGTCTGCCTTGCAACGTGCAGATATTGGCAAACTTATTTTACTTCTAACATGTAGGAACAATTTCAAATACTACTACTGAAAGGATTTAAAACACTGGAAACAGAAATCAATAATTGATTCATTTAGAATGATTCAAATCAGAAAATTATAACAAATAATACAGTTAGAAATTGTGAATCATCAAATAGCCTACATTATATTTCTGTAAGTATGTATCCTATATGTGAACATTTGAGAAGTGCAATGCCTCCATGTAATGTGCAAGGTGCTCATGCTATTTTGACTACCATTCCCTCCCAACGTTGTAAGAAGAAGAAAATAACAAAGAAATATTTGTTGCCTACAGCAACAAATTTGATGCATGCATTTACAATAACCAAGTATTTACACGAACTAGACATTCTAACAATCACACAAAATAAATGATGAGATATCCTGTCCAATGTGTTTTGGAAGAGATAAGACTTAAATGCAAACTTGTGTATTGGGACAGTGCTTGGGCCGCGACTGATGACGTTTAACAAGTCCACAAGAACACAAGTAAAATTCTTCCAACCAAAATTCAACGACTGCCCGAGAGGTGGGCAGATCGATACTAATATCGATACCAACGTTGGTATCGGTATTGATCGATACCAACGCGAAAATATCGATACTTAAGTTTCAGTTTCTCTCGTTTTGCGACCTGACCGTGTTTGTCAAAATGCTGCTGCTGTCACAGAGCAGAGCAAGCTTTTTGTAATCCTAGTGCTGCTCTCGTCCCCCTCTCCTGTGTTGTACCGTCACGTGACTCAACACTAGCTAGCGCGCTCCAGGACTACCACCAGTCAGGCACGCGCGGCCGCGCATTTCTAGTCTACAGCAGCACAATCAGAGACGGAGAACTTGTGACTTTGTTTATTTAAGAAAAAAAATCCTGAATAGAAGTGCACTAAAGAAGAGAAACATTTTTTGTTTACATGCTACTTGAAAAGAGAATTTGTTTTTACATTTTTTATATTTGTGAAGTAATAATTTTGTAACTTTGTTTAAATAAAATAGAAGTAACCAAAAGTTGTTTCTGAACAAAATCTTTTGTAGTACTGATTTTAACTGATTAATAACCCAAAATGCAAATCACAAAAACTAATTAAAAGTCATGAAAATTCATTTAGATTTAGTTTGAAGAGGCATCCACCTTAAAGTCCCCGTGAAATCAAAATTGAACCTATTTACTTTGTTAGCGCATATTACTAGTCTTGTGGTGAACAATTAATCTGTGCAAGTAAAAATATATTAAAAAAATGTTTTACCTTCTTTAATCAAAATCTGAAAAGTAACTTCCGGTCTGGAACGGTTTCTTTTTCTGATGACGTAGGTTTCACAGCTTGGGTGGGGAAACGCTTAACCACTCCCCTCAAACCGAGAGGAGGAGCGCTAGAGTAAAACCCTGCCCTCTGTTCAATATTCGTTTCACTTGGAAATACGTCACAGCACTGGAGAAAAATCGTTTGCAACTTCCGGTTCACGGGGACTTTAATTATTAAAAAGTATCGGTATTGGTATCGGTATCGGCGATACTGGCCCTGTATTTACTTGGTATCGGATCGATACCAAATCTAGCGGTATCGCACACCTCTGGAGCTTGACGTCAAACAAACATTGAATTTAAATGTCAACCCGACTTTCAATTTCAACCAAAATCCAAATTATTCTTTGTGATCCACAGAGTGATTTTAGTCTGGTGAGTCGTGACTGTCACTGGTCGAGAATTGTGTTTAATGCCCATGCGCTGGCCTGTGTGTAACCTTGAAATTGTACATTCATTTAAACAATTTTTTCTTATTTAAGATCTTAATGAAAAATATTTATATTTAGCAATGTTTTGAACAAAAAAATATAACTTGAAAAATAAAACAAATAATAGTAAACTGAATTGAATGAATAAATATTAATTGAACGAGGTAGGCCTACTGCTTGAAAACCTTTTTTCGGTGTGTGTATGTCACGTGACAAATGAACGTAAGACTCGGAAGGTAAAGTGATTATTTATGTTCCCTGTAAATCATTTTTTACTGCATTATGATTTCTTAATTCAGAATATGATCAACATTGCGTAGGTGGATGTGATCGGGGAATTTGGCTGTTAAAATTATAACATTAAGCCACTTAAATAAACGAAAGGACTCGAATGACTCAGAGAATCAGTAAAATGACTCGCAAGAGCAGCGGCTCGGTCTCGTCCTCGCGGCGCTGCGGGGCGGCGGAAGCTAAATCAGTCATGGCTCGTGAGAGCGGGGCACACCGACGTTGCGGGGCGGTCGCAACTCAGTAATTGTTCATTCCCGGTTGGCACACATTTTGCAGCCCTTACAAAAGCGCCGCTCCCTGTTCACAGTGGAAGTTCGATCATAGATTTGAGTTCGATGCATAATGTCTCGATGCGGCCGTGTCGGCGCATAACATACGTCATAAATAAACTTATCTGATTGATTTACGGGTAACCAATGATTTTAAACTTCAGAGAAGCGCCCCCTTGCGAGAGAGAAAACACTTCTCTATGGGCTCTATGCACGGCGTTATTTCCGGTGAAGGATTAAGGATGCCCGATAACTTCCGCCGATCGTAGAGTCCAATGCAATACCGAGAATTTATATTGAATTTTATACTCCATGGTTATACTAATGAAACGTTAGTCACAAAAACAGATAAAACAGACACCCCTCGTTGTGTTTATGCTTCTTTTTAAAATTATATTAAATAAACATAACTATATATAAAATTACATCTAAACGTATGTACGTTTCGTTTCAAAGACGGGAGGACAGTAAATATTGAAGACTCTGCCATAATCCCGTTTTCTCCGGTTTTCCTCCGCTTTAATCTACACAACCGGAAATGGACGAGCATCCTTACGTCAAATGCGGAACTTATGCGTGCATATAGCCCATTATGCCATTCCAGACTCTGTCTACGAAGCAAAGTGAAGTAGCAGAGTCTGGTATTACCAGGCTAGGTTAATGTTGGTTTGATCTGTAATTTTCAGCTTCTTCAATGACACTGCATTATTTCACAGGGATGCAAATCTGACTTGGATTATTTACAATACCCTCAACCACCACTAGAGAGAAGCATTTACTTGTGTTAGTCCTTCTGTTAGTGTTTTTATCCAGTTTGTGTGTAAGATCTGCCTTTAGTTCATCTGGTGACTTAGATGTTAGTGGCCCGTGCAGCTGAATATTAATTCATTATTGCACAAGCCTTTCCTTCACACCAATTTTGCCAACATTTTAAGATGGCACATGTGAAAATATTATGCAGATTTGTCATCTCACAACTAGAAACAGTTTAAATGCAAAGAGAACCGCTGGTAACTAATATTAAAGGCTCAATTTAACAGCTGTTAGATCTGTGCAATGAAGCCTAAATTGTGTTTTTCCTCTGCAAGCTCTTGAAAGCTTTGTCCTCATTGCCCTCTTTGCTGTGCTCTCTCTCTCTCTCTCTCTCTATTTCGCATTGCATTGCCAATCCATTTCTGTAATTCGCCCCTCCGCTCCTGAGAAACCCATCCCAGCCCGCACTGAAAGGCAATGGATTCATGCTGTCAGTAAAAAGCTGCGTCAGAGTCTCTCCTCCTGCTATAAAAAGCCGTGCCAGTGGCGCTGCATCCTCGCAGACCTCTCTCCACAACATCAGCACTGCGGAAACCTCTGCTCTCTTCTCTCTTCAGCAACCATGAGCTCAATGAGTTACAACCCTTATCTCCCGTCTGTGCAGCGGAGGCGCGTGGTGGTGCGCAGCGGGACGCCCTTCGGCGGAGCGAGCAGTCGTTCTCGATCCGTCTACTCGACCTACTCATCCCCGTCCCGTGCCTCGGTTCTCTCCTCCTCTGCGGCTCTGCAGCGTTCAGAGCTGGACCTGAGCCAGGCTTCTCAGCTGAGCTCGGAGTTTAAAGTGGTGCGGACGCAGGAGAGGGCCCAACTCCAGGACCTCAACGACCGCTTCGCCAGCTTCATTGAGCGTGTGCATAGCCTGGAGCTCCAGAACCGTTCCCTGGAGACAGAGCTGCTCCTGCTGCGCCAGAGGCACTGCGAACCCTCCCGCCTCAGGGGTCTGTACGAGCAAGAGGCGAGGGAGCTGCGCGCGGCGGTGGACGAGGCCCGTAGGGAGCGCCAAGCGGCTCAAGAGAGGCGGGACCGACTGGAAGACGCACTCAAGGACTTGCAGAGTCGCTACGAAGAAGTAGTCCTGGCCCGCGAGGAAGCCGAAGGCCGGATGGTGGATGCCAGGAAGGGGGCGGATGATGCAGCGCTGGCCCGGTCTGAGCTGGAAAAAAGAGCCGACACTCTACTGGACGAGCTGGCCTTCCTCAAGAGGCTCCACGAAAGCGAGATCGCTGAGCTCCAAGCCCAGGTGCAGTACAGCGCCCAGGTGTCGGTGGAGATGGAAGTGGCCAAACCGGACCTCTCCGTGGCTCTCCGAGACATCCGAGGTCAGTACGAGCGCCTGGCTCAGCAGAACATCCAGGCCGCGGAGGAATGGTTCCGCGGGAAGGTGAGCACCATCACGGAGGACACTGCCAAACACACGGAGAGCATCCGCAACGCTAAAGACGAGGCCGGGGAGTACCGTCGCCTGCTGAAATCTCGAGACCTGGAGATCGAGGCGTGCCAGGGCCTGAACCAAGCTCTGGAGAGACAACTGCAAGAGGTCGAGGAGAAACAGAGCGCAGAGATCGCTGAGCTACAGGTCAGAATCATAACTGCATGTCCTTTATTTACATTTATGCATTTAGCGGAGGCTTTTATTTAAGTTAGTTACATTCGATCAGTTGCTGTCCCTGGGGGCTTTACAGTTTGCACTATTGTACTCTAAAATTGAGTCTTTAATTTTTGTCTGGAAAGGATAACATCGGTGACTTGGAGAATGAGCTAAGGTCCATGAAGAGTGAAATGGGCCGTTACCTCAAAGAATATCAGGACCTTCTCAATGTAAAAATGGCCTTGGACATTGAAATAGCTGCTTACAGGTTAGCAATGTCAAGTGTTGCATTTGATATATATAGCCTATATTACCCCAAACATTTAATATGGGGTTTGCATCGATTACATTTGATCCTCCCTAATCTTGAAAACTTCTTTAGATCCTTAAATAAAAAGTTTATTTGCATTACAACAGGAAACTTCTGGAAGGAGAAGAAACTCGCTTCAACGAGGGCTGTATTGGCGGTATGTCCAGTGTGTTTTCTCCCTCCATCGCTGCCACTCCGTCTTTCGGCCGTCCAGTGTTCTCTGTGCAGGCCAGTCTGAGCTCTGGCGCCCCCTATCTTCTGGGAACCAGATTGATGAGCTACTCTGCCATTCCCGATGAGATTATTGAAGCCAGTCAGATGCAGGAAGCTGGGGCAAGTCCAGAGAAAGAAGAGGAGGAGGAGGAGGAGGTGGTGGAGGAAGAGGAAGAGGGTGAGAAGGAGGAGGAGGAAGAAAAAGAAGAGGGTGAGGATCATTTGTTTTTTTTTAATTTAATTTATATAAAAATTGTTTCTATTTATTATGTTTGACACATAGGTGCCTAGACGGTAAATTAAAATTATTAATATTTTCCCCCCATATTTTTCCCTTTTATTTATTTTTATGTATCTCCATTTAGTGAAATAAAGTTAATTATCTCTAGATTTTTTATTCCATTTTTACATTAACATTTTGTCCCTAAATTTTTTATTTTAAAATATCTATCTATCTATCTATCTATCTATCTATCTATCTATCTATCTATCTATCTATCTATCTATCTATCTATCTATCTATCTATCTATCTATCTATCTATCTATCTATCTATCTATCTATCTATCTATCAACATGTGTTGTCTCTTTTACAGGTGAAGAAGGAGGTGAAGAGGAAGAAGAGGAAGAAGGTGAGGATAAGGGAGAACAGGAAGAGGAGGAAGAAAAAGAGGAAGGAGGAGAGGGTGAAGAAGGCGATAAAGAAGAAGGGAAAAATGAAGAAGAAGAGGAGGACAAGGATGACACAGGAAAAGAAGATGAGAAAAAGAAAGGAGACGACGACGAAAAAGAGAGCAAAGCTGAGAAAGGCAAGCCGAAAGAGAAGTAAACCCTCTGGACCAAACCCCTGGTGCTAGCTGGAGGTGATCAAACCTCGTTTATCTCACACACGCAGACGTCTCGACAAGTTTACTGTGTCCAGCTGCTCCATTTCACATTCAGATGCAAACTGCAATAATAAATGCAACCATAGAGGTCGCCTAAAGCCAGAGTAGCCTATGCATGAACATGCCTTATGTTTGCGCTTGGCGGGGAAATTGTGATCGCAGGAGTCTTGTGTTGGTTAAATTGATGTTAATTTATTAAAATGTTATTATTTGAGCATTGCGTCTGTTTGCCTATCAACTGCCTATGCGAACACAAGTGTGCTTAGTATACAAAATGCCTTATACCCGATCCTCAAAGAAAGGCTCATTGCCTTTCAATAAAATCTTAACAAACCTCCTTACTTTGTGCGTTACTCTGTGTTGTTGTTTTTCTGCCTATGCTGTACATTGTAGCCTATACAGAACTAACTTGAACAAATTATGTGACATGCATAATTCAGCGAGAGGTGTCTATTTGTCATTTCAGAAGAAGGTTATTTTGCATGTTTTGTCGGAACTCGTTGATTAAATGTTGAACATTTTTTCCGGGTTTAGTATCAGGCATACTGTAGAAATACTGAGAGAATGGGCTCTATGCACGGCGGTATTTCCGGTGAAGGATTAAGGAATCGGATGCTCGATAACTTCCGCCGATCGTAGAGTCCAATGCAATACCGAGAATTTATATTGAATTTTATACTCCATGGTTATAATAAAGAAACGTTAGTCACAAAAACAGATAAACAGTCACCCCTCGTTGTGTTTATGCTTCTTTTTAAAATTATATTAAATAAACATAACTATATGTAAAATTACATCTAAACGTATGTACGTTGCGTTTCAAAGACGGGAGGACTGTACATTTTGAAGACTCTGCCATAATCCCGTTTTCCTCGGTTCTCCTCCACTTAAATCTCCACAACCGGAAATGGACGAGCATCCTTGCGTCAAATGCGGAACTTATGCGTGTATAGCCCATAGTATAATCTATTCAGGTAGCCTACACTACGGCCCACAAGTACAGAGGTATTAACTCAAGTATATAGCGCTGCATGCTGATTATTTATTCATGACAGCTGTAATCAATACAATGCAAGAAACCTCAGAGCTCAGCTAAAAGTAATTCACTAGATTGATGTCATGTGACTATTTTGTGCCCATTCATCACAGAGCAGAATCCAGGCAATTCACACATATGAGGTGAGTGTTGCATAGTGGTTCAAATCTGGGCTGTAACAGGGAAGTTTAGGTTCGAATCCACCCAGTGTGTTAGCAATGCACTGTCACCCCAGATGTGATCCTCATAGTGGTCAGCACAAATCTCTATTGATTTCTCATTTGAATTAGTGTTTTAGCATACACATCCCCCTTAGCGACACATTCAGTTCCCTGATGAGCCAGAGGACTCGACTCGAGCTTTAACAAGCCAGTGCAGCACATGTTCTCCATTATCCTAATTGACAACTATACGCTGACATGTAGTTACACTAATGGAGGGGGTTTTTAGAGATGGTCTCGTCTGTGTTTTTTGATTAATGTTCACGGTGTGATGAAACATTTGTGAGTTAAGTCATACTTCACTGTCATTCTTTCCATTTGCCCAGGAGGAAAAAAGGGGTTTATTGCCAACTATTAATCTTAGTTTACATGTAAAGGACTTTATCTTCTAGTGTGGAAGGATAATGGTTGTTGTACAAATCTTAATATTGTTAATATGTAGGAAACATTTAATGAAAGCAATTTGATGGATAAATGCAACGGTAATTTTGCAGCGCATTGTGTATAACAATACGCTACATATTTTATTGGTAAATGCATCAGGTACATGTGAATTTTCCATGTTGAAATTATATTGATTTTTGTGATTATCACCAATCATCTTTATTTGTGTCCATGATTTTTTTTTTAGAAATAATGCATGAAACTGATTTTTCTGTTCCACAACAATATTAACCAGGAACACTGTTTTTAACATTGATAATAAGAAATGTTTCTTGAGCATCAAATCATCATCTTAGAATGATTTCTGAAGGATCATGTGACATATATGCTGAAATTTCAGCTTTGCTTCACAGGAATAAATTACATTTTTAAAATATATTCAAGAAAACAGCTATTTAATATATTTTACAGTTTCTACTGTATTTTTGATTAAAGGAGTATAGTTCACTTTAAAAAAAATAAAAATAAAAAAAAAACTTTTGCTGATAATTTACTCACCCCCATGTCATCCAAGATGTCCACGTCTTTCTTTCTTCAGTCAAAAAGAAATTAAGGTTTTTGATGAAAACATTCCAGGATTTTTCCACATATAATGGACTTCATTGGGAACCAAACGGTTCAAGGTCCAAATGAGAGTTTCAATGCAGCTTCAAAGGGCTTTAAACGACACCAGACGATGAATAAGGGTCTTATCAAGGATTTTAAGAAAATAGTTAAGAGTTAAGAGTTTGAACAGGAGAGTCACGAACGCGCATCACAGAACAGAGCAAGGCGAGCATTTGTGCTTATAAAACTTAAACTTTTTTTATTCATTTTTGAAATGAGCGATCGTTTCGCTTGTTAAGACCCTTATTCATCTTCTGGTGTCGTTTAAAGCCCTTTGAACAGTTTGCAGTTTGCACTGAAACTCTCATTTGGACCTTGAACCGTTTGGTTCCCATTGAAGTCCATTATATGGAGAAAATCCTGGAATGTTTTCATCAAAAACCTTCATTTCTTTTCGACTGAAGAATGGGGGTGAGTAAATTATCAAAGTTTTTTTAAAAGTGAACTACTCCTTTAAAGCCTTGGTGAGCATAAGAGACTCCCGTCTTACTGACCCCAAACTTGTTGTGTGTACAGTAGCATGAATACAAACACACTAGACTAGAAGCTTTGTAAGGACTTGATGAGCTTTTATTGATTTATGTGATATTGCAAAGAGCAGCACCAGTTAGCTTTCACAGTATCATTGCAAACAGCTTTTGTGTTTAGCGTTAACAACCCGACTCTTATCATTGGTTCAGTGCATTGTGTCTTAAGGCAAGTAGTATGCAGATGAAATGAAGGAGTTTCTGCTCAAAGTGTGCCTGCGAATGATGATATTGTTGTAGCACCATTATTGCCGAACAGCTGCTGGAGAACTTCACATCATCGCCGTGAAATCTCTCGTTAACAGAGATGGTTCGAGTCGTTAGCAGCGTAATGTGTTTGCACTTTAATTCAAACGCGCTGGACGCAACAGCTCAGCATGGCGACGTCCTCCCAAAACCACGCATGCAAGTTAATCGTTTAACACGCATGCAATTATTTTCGCTAGCTGCGTCATTTTCACATTTTGCATCAAATAGAATTATTTCGAACAATTGATTATAACTAATTTCCCGCCAGAATCATCGGCATCAGTCTTTTCCTTTGATTTCCTTCTTGGCTTCCGGAGTGACTTTCTCCACCTTTTTGGCGACTTTCTTCTTCTCCTGAGGCTTTTCCTCCGCGTCAGCTTTGCTCTGCTTGTCTCCGTTGGTGATGGTCTCCACTGTTCTGGTTTGGACCTCTTCTTTCGGGCTAGCTTCCTCTTTGGCCGGGCTCGTCTGCTCGCCGTTGCGAACAACTTCCTGTTTTTCTTCCTGCTGCTTTTCCTCGGCTGGGCTTCCCGGTTTCTCCTTTTCTTCACTTACGGGGGATTTCTTTTCGTCTTCCTCCACATCGCTTTTTTTGTCGCTCTTTGTTTCCTCTCCTCCAGACTCGTCTTTCTTCTCTTCCTCTCCTTCGGATTTGGTCTCGTCGTCGTCTTTTTCATCCGCTTCTTCCTTATCGTCATCATCTTTGGTTTGTTCTTTCGCTTCGGCCTCTTGTTCTTCAGCGTCCTCCTCTTCCTCTACTTTTCCTTCTTCTTCTTTGTCGCTGCCTCCTTTGTCTGACTTTGGCGATTTGTCTCCACACAGTTTTGTTTCCTCAATCACTTCCACTTGTGCCTCTTCTTCCTCACCCTCTTCTTCCTCTTCCTCTTCCTCCTCAGCCGCCTCTCCTTCTTCTGCTGTTTCGTCCTCATCTTCTCCTTCCTCTTCCTCTTCTTCTCCCTCAGGAGCGGCGGAACTCACTTTGGCCTGACTGGCGGCAACAACCTCTTCCTCCTCTTCCTCCTGTTTCTCCTCTTCACCCTCACCAGCTTCTTCTGCCACCTCTTTCGCCACCTCCGCCAGGTCATCATCGATGTCACTCTCTCCTTTAGTCTCCTCAATGATCTCCTCCACTATTTTATGTTTGACCTTAGAGGATCTGGGCTGGCTGTATGCAAACGCAGCGCTTGAAATACTTCCGGAGACGGTACGGAAGCGCGTCTCCTCACCCTCCAGTAGTTTCCTGCATTTAAAAAGAGAAAAGTTTGTCATGAATCAAAAAAGACATGAAAAAGAGCAAAGAAAGTGTAATGTTCTGCACAACTCTACCTGTAAGCTGCTATTTCAGCATCCAGCGCCATCTTGACATTGAGCAGATCCTGATATTCCCGAAGATGACGAGACATTTCCCATTTTGTTCCTTTTAGATCATTTTCCAGTTGATGAATCATTTCCTGTTAAAGCGGATGTGATTAAATTAATTAGTTTACACTTAAAATTTAACAGCAAGAAATTATGATTCAGTATAGACAAAAAAACAAAACAAAAAAACATCTATTTTCCCATACAGAGGAAACAAGTACATTTATAAAAGTTCTTATTTGGTGGCAAATGTAGCATCTGTTTTATGATTTGTATTTTATCATTTGTTCCCGGCCTGGCAGAAACACAACAAACCACTAAAATGAAGTCCTGCAGCACTACAGTAGTAAATAGTAAGTAGTACGCGCATTGCACGCGATGCGTAAATACGCACGCAGTGCGCAACCACCTGTGGAATAATGGCTGGGTTTCAAAACCTAGTAAGCAGCAATTTTTGGCCATCGTGGGTGCTTTCTCAAAAATAAATAAATAAATAAATAAATCCATCGTTCATATCATGAAAAAAGCAATTATCTCACAGGTGCGTATTTACGCGCGACGTTGCAGTGTGCATACTTGTAGCTACTAGGGCTGCAGCATTTTTGTCACATCTGATTTAAATTATTAAAAAAAAACATTCTTGTGAATTTTAAATGAATTAATTACTAATAATATGTCTAAATAATTATTTATATTATTATTGAATTAAACTTATAAGGGATTCGGTTTAAAATATTTTATTAGGTCTTGATAAGCTGACCTGATAACTGGCAACGTCGCTGTTGTGGCGGTCTTCGATATCATGCAGCTGCCTTTCCAGTGAATCTTTGGTGCCTCGAAGAGTCTCCAGTTCAACGTTCTTGGCTTGGATCTGACGGCGGTAGTCACTGATCTCGTCCCGTATTGACTTTATAGCATCCTTGTTCTGTTCCGCGGCGTCCGTCAGCATGGCATAGCGGCACTGGAACACCTCTTCAGCCTGCTGGAGGTTCTTGGAGGAGAGCCCGTCCAGTTGCGCGCGGATCTCCCGGAGCGCAGAGGTGATGTCGGTCTTCTGGAGGTCCCTCATCTCCACCACCGGCACCTGCGCGGCTTGAAGCTGAGCCAGAAGCTCGCTGATCTCCTCCTCGTGGTTCTGCCGCACGAAGTCAATTTCGTCCACGAGCGACTGGACTTTCCTCTCCAACTCCAGCTTCATCATAACCGAGTCGTCCTTGTCTTTCTTCATGCCTCGGATCGCCGCCTCCACGTGCTCTCTGAGCCTGGATTCATCTTCATAGCGCTCCCGGATCCGCTGGAGGTCCTCATCCATGTGCTCTGTGTCCAGCATGATCTGCGCCTTCTCCTTGTGGAGCTGCTCCAGGGCGCAGCGCAGGTCTTGGAGCTCGCGGTCGTACCCATCGCTCTGCAGGGACTGCGACAGTTTCTGCTGCTTTAGCGCTTGGATCTCAGCCTCGAGCTGCTTGTTTTGCTCCTCGAGGAAGCGGACCTTGTCGATGTAGCTGGCGAAGCGGTCGTTGAGCCCATGGAGCTGCTCCTTCTCGTTATGACGCGTCGGGTCTCCGTTGAGCGCCGCGCTCAAATCGAACCCATCCGGAGACGCGAGCACGGAAGGACTGTACGCAGATCTTGTTGCGGTCACATTTGCGGTTCTTTTGAAAGACAGAGGACTGCTTTTAGCCCACGAGCGCATTGTGGACGACGGTTGGCGGATAGTCCGTGTCTCCAGAGCTCTTCGGCGGGAGGAGGAGGTACCTATCATGTCCATGGTGAACGGTGCTTGTGAATTGGTGGTGAGATGAGGGCATGGTGTGTTCGGTCCTGTTCTATTTATACGCGCTTACTTTGTCAACGAGGCAGGAGCACCACCCTCCCCTTGGAAAATCGATGAAGATGGAGGAGGACCTGGGTCGTCGGGTTGTTCAGCAGTTCACCTCAGTGGTCGAAGTCTTTTAAAATTGTATACAGGTTGAAGTCAAGAGGCTGTGACTTTCTGCATCACATGTTGTTTAGTGCACTTGATGCACTTTTTGCACTTGTTCACCATACTTATTCTTAATGTATTGCAGGTAAGACTCTATCCATCTATCTATCTATCTATCTATCTATCTATCTATCTATCTATCTATCTATCTATCTATCTATCTATCTATCTATCTATCTATCTATCTATCTATCTATCTACCAATTTTAACTTATTCTAACTTTGGAGGAACCCACAAAAAGTGCAACTTTCTTTGCCAATAAATGTGAATTTTGCTTGAAATTTCTGTAATATCTCATTTTTTACTTACGAATTTAAACAAATTCAGGTGTATTGCTCTTGCAGAGCAATGGAAAGAAGATAAAAGCAATTTGTGCAAAGATTGAACAAAATGCATAATAATAAATATTTATCACTGGCTGAACAATAAATGCGCAGTACTTTTAAAAGTACAGATATCCCATGTAGTCTCTGCATTAATTTGCAGTCAATAAACTGCATACGTAACAATAAGAGAATTATAAAAGTTTTCATTAAAAAAAAGTTTTTGGAATACACAGATGAATTATAAAATCCCACACTGTGGGACATGAAGCACTGTTAAACAAAATAAAGTAGCGTAATGCACTTCTATTCAAATTAAAGCAACACTAAGTAAGATTTTTTACCTTAAAATAATGTTTTCAAAAACGTGTAGTGGTTCATCAAGTCGTGACATGGTGAAATGCACTTACCTTTATCTGATATATCCACGCCATGTAAGATTGCCATATCGGGTCACGTTTCTGTAGTCCGAATGAGACCTAAGAAAACTACAAATTTGACTTGCTTTACGGCGAGCGTTACAATTGCCAATAGGTGGAGCGTACTCGACAATAGACTACAACTACATGTAAGATACTTAGCAGCCGGGTAGCTTTTGAATTGTCATGGATGTGCGTGTGTGTGCGTGCGACAGTAGGATGTGGTAGGCTAAATTATTTACGACAACAGTAATGGACAATTCCACTTCCAACCTGTAGGGCGGCAGCAGAGGAAAAGTCACTTGCTGTTGTTTTAAAATGAACATCATAGATGGATCGAAAGGCTAAAAACCAATATAACAAGGATAACATCTGTCCTATATTACTGTAACACTCACCTCTTTGACTGATCACTTTCTAATAAAGTGTCTTTTGTTTCCCTTTGCTTTAGACATTGACATTCTTGAATGCGTGCACATGGAAAGACGAAGCAGCCAATCCGCTGTCAGCCTCAGTTGATGCATTGGGGATTTGGCGTCTGTTGTCAGGAAGGTTCAATAATGCAGCAAAGTACCAAGGTTATAGAAGTTTTCTAATTCATTTTAGAGTGCACAAGGGAGTCAATGCTTAATAAAAAAAAACCAAGGGCCTTCCTAAAATGATAATTATACTTTCTTCATAAGGAAGGACCCAAAGGACCTAAAAAAGCATCTTGAATACTGATATCAATAAAAAATATATGATATTATAAGACTAATCTAATACAACTGCAGTAAAAATGCCATAAAAACTGCACTTCTTCAAGTTTATCCAGATTATAGCCATGACGAGTAAAATGAGCAGACACATGCTGGAAGAAGTGAAATACTGTACACATATGTCAGAGGTTATATACAAAAAGCTTTTGCAGACTAGATCAATACAAATCATAGATAATCAATAGAAAATCTGACAATCAATCAAGAGAGGAAAGTGGCCTGTTGCTAATGACTCTGATGCTCACGATTCATAGCTGTGTGTGTGTGTGGCCCTGTAGTGTTAATGTAAGTGAATGTTAGGGGATATAGTATACAGTTTGTACAGTTAAAAAATCATAATGTCTATGGAAGTCCCTATAAAACATCAAAACACAAAATGTGTGTGTGTCAGAGTGTGTTGTTTTAACCCAATTTTGGGTCAAATATGGACAAACTCAAACATTGGGTTAAAAATGTAATTTTAAAATGTAACCCAATGGTTGGGTTTGTCCATATTTGTCCCAAAATTGGGTTAAAACAACCCAGCATGTTTTAGAGTGTATATGAAGAGTTCAGATGCAAAAGCCTCTAAGTGCCATTTGAAAATTTCTAAAATGATCATTTTTATCAAGCTTGTATATTTAAGTTCAGTGATTTCACTTAAATGGCAATGAAGATTACCTATTAATTGTCATTTAAGTGAAATTACTGAACTTAAATACACAAGCTTGATAAAAATCATCATTAAAGAAGAAAATTTCAAATGGCACTTATGGCTTTTGCATCTGAACTCTTCATATATAGCCTAGTTTGAGTTATATCCTATAGGCTATAATACGTTGAGCTAGCTGTTTGTGCATCACCTCTAGTAACTCATCCGTCTCATATGTCGTTGTTGACTCTGATAGGGAATCGCCTGCCGCAGTGAAACACTAGACGCTCGAATGTAATTGTAAAGCCCAACAAAGTTGCTTTTTTTGCCGGTTCTAAAATTGCACAGTCATGCTTTTAGACAGTGCGCCTGCTGATGTTTCGACCCAGGCCGCGGGCCAACAGAAGGGGTGCAGAGATGCTGAGTCAGCTCAGAGCCGACACGAGGCCGAGGAACACAAATGGGAATGTAAGACAGATAGTCGTACACCATATACCCGTGTGTTTGTGTGTGCTGAAGTAGAAAAAAAATGAGAAACATAAACACACTGGTACTAGAAAGTCATCTGTATGATTTCAGCGTGCAGAAGTCTCTTTTCGTGAGGTTAAAGACATACTTGGACAGCTATTCTGTGTTTTGAGTATTGCATTCCCCACTCAACACTTCAGCATCCCTCTCCTCCGTCAGCAGCTCTCCGGCACCGTGAGCGCTCGCACGGGCTGACAGCACTGTTTTTCCTGCAGACGCACACACACACACACTTCTGGGTGTAAATCACAAGCTCCGCCCCTCTGCAGCACACCACTGCACACAGACATCTCATTTACAGAGCCGGACGGGTTTGGCAGCTTCGGAATTCCATATTAGAAAGCGTCTATTACATAAATACGCATTTGATTTTTTAATGCACTTTCCATTGACTTGCATTGTTTTTATAATGAGCTAATGATATTTTATACCCCCCACCACTCATAAACCTTTTGCTTTTTCATCAGCACATTACTGAGTTTGTTTAATAAGCAGTTTTACTCGTGAGGACCATTTGCTGCACCGAGTAATATCAGATTTTACTAGTCTTGCGGGGAGTTTTATTCCTAATAAAGTAGACCAAACCAAAGTCTCTCTTTTTTTTGCACACACACTCATTCCCAGAACCTTTCCATTCCACACAAAGTTCTTTAAAAAGTTATTTAGAATTTTGAAATTCTTCACAGTAAAAAAACAATAACAAATTAAAGCTGCAAGCAGCATTTATCGGTGTTCAGGTCTTTAAGGCATTTAAGCACAAAAGCATCAAAAGACATTAAGTTGTATGTAGCAGGCATGATTTATCATGATATACTACATTTCAGCTTGATTTTACATAATTAACCATGTTCCAATATGATTTATCATAATTTAACATGTTAAAATATGATTTACTACAGTTTAGTTCACACACTCATTTTCAACTGCAGGATAATAGTCATTTTTTACTATATGTGGTTGTAAATGTTAAAAGATTGAATTGATAAAGTTATACTATGAATTTATAGTTGAGTATTGTGAAAAAAAAAATTTAAAACAGCAGTGGGCAGTACAACACCACTCATTGGCCACCTATAATCCGATCCTCACGGAACTTTGCGGAGGAACTTTTGGTTGCTGTAGCGCCACCTATCCACCTATGCACCTATGCACCTCGTACTCTGATAGCTTTGAGATATACAAATCCGAGATATACACTTTTTTGGGGGGATTTGGGGCTTTTATATAGGCCTAGACTAGACTGGTTTGGTCCCGATCGGGCAAAAAACCAGGACTAGTTCGCAAAAGTGGGTTTTGGACAAAAACCAAAATAACAAATTTATTTTTGCTCCAAATGGAAATCCGAGATATACATCTTGTCCGTCTTGAGCCAGGGATTACAGTGGTGTAAAAACATTGAAGCTAAGTCAAACGGTCTAGGAGTTATGAGCAATTTAGTACTTTTGGTTGCTGTAGCGCCACCTACGGGCCAATCGGGGTCATACTCTGATAGCTTCTCCACAATTCGAGGCCCTACCATCTGACAAAGTTTCACAGCTCCAGCCCTTACGGTTTGGGCTGCACGATGCGTTTTAGGGGATTTTTTTTTTCTTTCTAGCAAATACAGTTTTCAGCACTTCGTGCTTGAACACCTAATAATGAGAGACCTTTTTGACGATTGTAGCGCCACCTATGATCCGATCCTCACGAAACTTTGCATGCTTCCTAACCATGTTAGGACACATATGCTCACCGATTTTTGTGAAGTTGTGCCTTTTTGGGGGGGATTTAGGGGCTTTTGACTGAATTTTGCCACAGACCACTATCTAAATGAGCCTGTTACAGCCAACCAAATGCAAAATTTCAACTTTTTTTCGATAATTATTGATCTAGAGAGTCCAGAGAATAGGCCTAGACTGGTTTGGTCCCGATCGGGCAAAAAACCAGGGACTAGTTCGCAAAAGTGGGTTTTGGACAAAAACCAAAATAACAAATTTATTTTTGCTCCAAATGGAAATCCGAGATACACATCTTGTCCGTCTTGAGCCAGGGATTACAGTGGGTAAAAAACATTGAAGCTAAGTCAAACGGTCTGGGAGTTATGAGCAATTTAGTACTTTTGGTTGCTGTAGCGCCACCTACGGGCCAATCGGGGTCATACTCTGATAGCTTCTCCACAATTCGAGGTCCTA